ATCAGCTGCCTCCTGCACGCCCCACGCCCCCTACTGGGGATTGATTCTGCAACCCAGGCATTTGCCCTTGACCGGAATGGAATCTGGGATTCTTCAGTCCGCAGGCCGACCCTCAACCCACTGAGCCAAACCGGCCAGGGCATAGTCACAGGGTTTATATTACATAATAAAGGGAGAGCCAAACCCCCACCTTTCCTCCAGTGTGCTCCTTGCACAGGCAGCCTCCGCTTCCTCAGTGGTTTAGAGATTTGGAGATCTCTCATTGCTGCTGCACCATAAAACAGGTAGTGGCTTGATTTAGTAAACATCGGAAGGACTGTTTGGTTCAACTTTTGCTGGATCGTTTTCAAAAGGAAAGGAATTACTGAATGGGCCATATGGAGTATAGCGGAATGGATGGACTATGTGGTTGATGGGTCCTGGTCTGTGAAAGAGCTTGGGCAAATGAATAACTGTCTTTCTTGTCAAACAAGGGAATCTCATGTGGTATACATATTGTGGAAACCTTTAGATTACCCAGTCAGTGGTTCTTCCTTTGTCCGCCTCTCTCACCCCTTCCCTCCGCTTTCTTCCCTTTCTTTCAACTGTACTTGGGGATTAAGCTTCAAATAATTTATTTAAATTGGGGTCAGAACAGTTATCATCTCTTAGAATTTTGAATCTGGCACAGTTTAAAGACAACAAAGAAAGAATCCAAGAACTCTGCCGACATGAAAGAAATGATGAGCATAAACCAGCAAAGATTATAAAAGATCAAAATAAACCATGGTATATGAATCATATAACAGTGTAAATGTGTCGGCATTTCTTACCTCAAAAAAAATTTAGCCCTGGCCGGTGTGGCTCAGTTGGTTGGGCATCATCCCGTGCACCAAAAAGTTACTGGTTAGATTCCTAGTCAGGGTACATGCCCGGCTTGTGGACTTGATCCCTAGTAGGGGGTGCGCAGGAAGCAGTCAATCTGTCGATGGTTCATTTTGGTAAATTAAACAAATCCTGCCATTTAAACCATTTTGAAGTGTACAATTTAGTGGCATTAAGTACATTGACAATCTTGTGTAACTATCACCACTATCTATTTCCAGAACATTATCATCATCCCAAACAGCCTCTGGTAACCTCTATTCTACTTTCTAGCTTTCTGAATTTGCCTATTCTGGTACCCCATATAATTGGAATCATATAATATTTGTCCTTTTGTATCTGGTTTATTTTACTTGGCATAATGTTTTCAAGGTTCATCCATGATATAGTATGTATCAGCATTCCATTCCTTTTTATGGCTGAGTAATGTTTTGTATGTGTGGACCACATTTTGTTTATCTGTCCATCTGTTGATGGCCACTAGGGTTGTTTCCGCCTTTTGGCTATTGTGAATATTGCTGCTGTGGACATATACCTGTTTGAATCCCTACTTTCAGTTCCTTTGGGTATATATCCAGATGTGGAATTACTTTATGAGGAGCTGCTAAACTGTTTCCCAGCTGTACCATTTTACATTCCCACCAGCAACTCGCACAAGGTTCCCGATTTTTCCATGTCCTCACCAACACTTGTTCTTTATTTCCTTCCTTCCTTCCTTCCTTCCTTCCTTCCTTCCTTCCTTCCTTCCTTCCTTTCCTTCCTTCCTTCCTTCCTTCCTTCCTTCTAATAGCCATTCTAATGGGTGTGTCAGAAATTTTTGAGCATCTACTCTGATGAATGTTGGATGACTCAGAGTGCTGTTTGCCATTGTGAGGATCCAGTTACCTCAAGTTACTAAAGGGAACAGTGGCCTAAGCCAGTGCCCTCTAAGAGGGGCGCAGGGAGATGTTGGCCATCCTAGACAGTATCTGCTTATTCATAAGACATTTTCATTTACAAAGAGCTTGGTGTCAAACTTTTTTCTCTATGTGGATGGTCAGGGATCAGCTGAAACTCTCAGATTCAGAAGGGGAATAATTTAGGAGCTCTTGGATATGTGTGAACTTCCTGGGGCATGCCAGGCAGCTTTTGGGTTTGGCTTTTAAAGATTGGATTAGTGGTTTGCGCAGTCCCAGGGAGGAGCTTTTGTAAGAAGTCCTTTGACTTTACTTAAAACCTTACTTTACCTTTTGCCTCCTTGCCTGATGTACATATAAGCCTTAATGTATCTTCAAATGGAGAATCAAAAAAATCTAGAGTAGGACCTGGTGGAAGGGCTATTAATGAAAAAGATGGAAGCTCTGGGTGTCCAAGTGGTACCATTGCTGCTCATAAATCAATCATTTGCCCATTTCATTGCTTCAGAGAGCTAGTCTCGTTACCAGAATATTCTTCTTGCACCAAGGAGCTGTTGTTGAATAGCTTTGAATGAGTCCTGGCATAGAAAATCTGTTGGTAAATATTATTTCTAATGGATCACAATCTTCTCTTCCTTGAAAAACAAACCTGTACTGGGAACTGGTGAGACAGAGCTGTGAATAAAAGAAGTAAGGGGAATTAATTTAAGTCTTTCCCCAATTTTTTTTTTAAAGAAACACTAGTCTTGAGTTCAGCTTGAGGATAGACTGGAGGATTTTATTATCAAATAAGTTTGGGACATCGAATCTGTTCTATTCACCTATTGGTGATTTATAACGTGCATTAGCACCCAGCACCCTAAAATTTTCAGGAAGTCCTGCATAAAGGCAATATAACAGTTTTGTTTAGTATGGTGTTTTCCAATACAACCCTTCTGTTGAATAAACATCTGACATTCCTTGGAACAATTATTCCTTAGGTCACATATTAAGACTACTGCTTTTTATATTAAAGCCTTGAGTAAAATAGGGATTTTCTTGAGCCCAATGACGTGTGAAGGCATCCCGAAAAGCAAGTTACTATACCTTCCTCCTCAGTGTCACTCCACCATCTTAGTATTAATGTACCCTTTATATCTGGCTTCCTGGTATAGGAGTTAGTTTTGTGTCGTTATGGAAAAGTCTGTGTAATGGTAATTACTATAGAGCAGCGGTTCTCAACCTGTGGGTCGCGACCCCTTTGGCAGTTGAACGACCCTTTCACAGGGTCGCCTAAGACCATCCTGCATATCAGATATTTACATTACAATTCATAACAGTAGCAACATTACAGTTATGAAGTAGCAACGAAAATAATTTTATGGTTGGGTCACAACATGAGGAACTGTATTTAAAGGGCCAGAAGGTTGAGAACCACTGCTATAGAGGCTTTTTTCTGTATAATGGTAATTGCTGTAGAAGCCTTTTTTTGTCCCCGTTCACTTTTGGGTGGGAGATTTTGTTCTTCATGTTGTTTCTCAGTACATATTTGGAAGGGTACCAAGCATTTCTGGGAAATGGGTGCAAAACTTTGGGGATGAGGATAATTTGTTGTGAACTTGGGTCATTAGTTTTAGAGATTTATTATAAGAGTTTATCACTGAAAAGAGGTTCTACTGCTTGGGGTAGAGTTGGCCTTTCCCCCTCATCCTGTTTGCTGCTACCTGAGAGACTAGGAGAGAGGCAACTAAGGACCTTGATGTATCCCAGGTGAATGAGCTCAACCCTTTACATAGTGGATGCCCTCTCTTGGGAATGGGTGTCTTTAATACATTCAGCCTTGCTTGCCGTAGCTATCACAGATGTTGAGTTTCTGAGCTGGATTAGCTGTGGGACAAAAGAAATCATTGGCATAATATACCTATTGATAATAATCATCTTTTAGATTTATTTTATTACTACATCCTAATTTAATATCTCATTTAATTCTCATAACATCCCTATTATATGTTAAGGGAGAATAATTATAATTCCTCAGTCTGTGAGCTAAAACAAAAATTTAAGTTCTAATTCCTAAGTCTGTTTAGTTTTAAGTATGGGATCAAAATTGGAATCCAGGTCTCCTGTCTCCCAAACAAGTGGTCTTTTTTGCCAACTGCATTGACTGAAGTTTTCTTTGAGGCCAAGTGTTTAAGTACAATTTTAAATAAATACTTGTATTTGTATGAAAGTATTATGGCATAGAAAATTCAGTAGCCAGAGAGATGAAAAATGAGGCTTAGAAAGATTGATCTATTCAGTGTTGTAAAGTTTGCAAGTGAAAGCTACAACTAGCATTTAGCCCTTTTTTAATCCAGTGTTTCCCTGATAAACCAAGCTATTGATAGATGTTGTCTTTAGTAGATGCTAATAAATATATGTTGAATACAACTCAATCTCTTCTTAAGTCTTCGACCCTTGCTAGGAAGGTTAAGTTTCAGGTTTTACAGAGTATCAGACTTTTCTCTCAGATCCAGGTTGTAGACCAGGATTACACTAGTCCACTTTGTGGAATGCCTCACTTGAATTATATGCCTTTTGGGGGTCTAAGTAATAGTTCTAGATAATGCAACTGACCTCTTTCTCACAGGAACCAGGGGAAGAGTGAGGACTGAGAATACATATCAGCAGTAGGACCAACCATGAGGCCACATAAGGAGAAGCTGGGCCAGAATTAGCCTTTGGCAGGAGCAGGGATCAGTCAGTCCACTTAGACTGCAGCACTGGATTGAGATGCATAACTAATTGTCTTTCTAGGCCCAGGCTGGGCACTTGATGGTGTTTCTTAGGCTAGAACAGTAGCTCAGAATGCCAACCCACCAGAGGGGAGAGCCCAATGAAGAGCCAGGAAATAAAAATGATTATACAAGAGATGAAATTAAATGTTGCAGGATATTTTCTCATACGGAAGAGAAAGTGAGTGGGAGCTTTACTTTAACATTAAGTATAGTACATCTTTTGTATCACAAGAAAAACCAGCCTATGTTAATATTTTAAGAATTTTTTTAATGTCACTAGTTGTTAATGACCAATTCCATTTTAGAACAAATAAAGGAAGGAATGGTGAATTTCAGAATAGTTGGTACTAAGAAAGGACCAAATTCTTGATATTGCAACCACAAGACTTACTTCTTTAAAGTGTTCTTTGTTAAGGTCGTTTTGAAAGGTCAGCTTGTTTTTTAATGGTGCTCAGTGAAGTTGCTGTGTGTTGCTGTTTGACAGATTCGTGCAGAAAAGAAAAGCAGGGATCTCAGCAGCTGAACTGAAGGCACTCCAGGGAGACCTGCCGTTGATTGTGAAAATCATCTTCGATCCTGAAATTAAAAGTAAAGCTGGAAAGGAATTTACAAACAAGAAAAAAAAGAAGTTTGGGATCGGACTTACAGGATCTGGGCTTGGAAATGCCTCAGGTAAATCATCTAGAGCAAGTGTAGGGTTTTCTGTTTCCCCATGGCAGAAAGTCCATGTCATTGCTTCTGTAAGTTCTCCAATTCGTAACACAACTTGACACGCTATCTTTTTAAGACAGTTTCCTTCTGATTTCAGCTAGTTTTGAAGATACGAACTTTTTTCTATTGCTGCTTCTATTTTCTGCTTTGCTATATAGCTTTAAATAATGAGCGTGGCACAGGGAATTCGGTGAATGGAAATTTAGTGAGAAAGGTGTACAGATCTGCTGGCTTTATGGGAGCTAAACCAACTCCCCTGAAAATTAACCTGCCACCAAAAGCCTATTTTATTCTTTCTGTCTTCTACTTCACAATTGTTCCTTTCCATTCATGCCTGTTGAATTTAAAAGTAAGAGGAAATTGTGTATGTCTTTCATACACATACACCCCCACACACATATATACAGGTGTAGGTAAAAGTAGGTCTACAGTTGTGAGTATGCAAAAGTTTATTCTTGTATTATTTACTCTATTTTCCAAACAACTGTAAGTCTACTTTTGCCCACCTCCCACAAAACATGTTTAAGAGTGATTATATCCATTTATATTACTACTTTGAATTCATCAATTCTGGTTTCAGGCAATCACTGAAACAATAAATGAAGCCCTGTTAGTCCCCACTCTGCATATACAACTTCTTCCCTTCCTCCTGTCATTATCTTTTACCCTCTCCCCTCTTTGTGTTCAGTGCTGGGGAGAGATCTAAAAATAATGAGAGGGCCCGGGTGCTTAGGTGGCTTTATGTGAGGCCAGGCAGAACTATGCCCTGAGCGAAGGAAGTCAGAAACTTGCTGTGACTGTGCAGTGACTCGGAGGCAGGCAGCAGAGGCAGAGAATGGGATTTGCTGGCTGATGTTAAAAAGGCCAGCGGCCTGCCTCCACCCCAACCTCCCTGCCAAGTGGACCACACATACTCATTCAGAGTTCTTTCCCATTCAAGTTTTAATTTGCTGTTTATCAAATACTTGAATTTAGAACTATAAGACACTTATTTTGAGTTTGCAGTCTGGTAGGGTTGGGGAAAATCAGAGAAAGAAAAGAATGGGGTGGGATGTTCCAATGAAGGAAAACATGATGAGAGAGTATGTATGATAGTGTATAAAGGTATATGTATACAAAAATGTAAACAGATAGACTAATAATTTTTTAAAGTTTCAGCAGAAACTTGCTGAAGAAGAACAAAAAGGCAAAGAGGGAATTTTTATTTTTCCCCATCCTCTCCCTTCATGCAAATTCAATTTCAGAGGGAGGCTTTTTACTTGTTTGGACCAATTTAGGCGTGTGAGGCCCGCCTTTACTCTAGAGTGATTTATAGAGATGTTGAAATGGAAAAGGAGGATGGATTAACTCTGGGTGCTGAGGCTTTTTTCCCTTTCTTATTTATTATAGGATGAATTGTATCCTTTTCAGGAGTCAGGATTAAAGCTACTGAGCTCCCAGTTACTGGTCTCACCCAGGGATTTTGGATATTTGGCTAATTGTATCTCCATCATGTTCCTGGAGGCATTTGTTGACTAGAGATACCCAAGTTCTCTTCGAGCTTGTTTTGAGGACTCACTTAGGAGTATAGAGTTAGACTGACCCGCTACCTCCATAGACCCCAGGAAATGGCAGTTCTCCTCTTCAGGGAGTTAGTACAGAGAGTTAGTAATTAGAGATGGATTTGAAGAATATTTATAGCCTAATGAAAGTATTCATTAGGTACTGTATGCTGACTGGTGGCTAAATAAGCTTTAGTTTTTAGAGGTTAAGTATTAGGAACAATTGGCACTCATTTCTTTCTGTTTTTTGTTTTTATGCATTTAGTTATTTTCCTAATATAAGCCCACAAGAACAATTGGCACTCATTTCTTTTTTTTTTTTTTTGGTTTTATGCATTTAGTTATTTTCCTAATATAAGCCCACAGTTAAATGCTAATTAAATGTCTTAGATGTACTACTAAACAGTAGGAGAAACAATTGTTTTCTGAAAATAGTAGGTGTGGGGATGGGGCAAATTTGCAATAAATTGGTCTTGAGTAGTCTTTCATGTTCTAAAATTAAAACCTCTCTGTTGTAGCCTAGTGTAAGCGGAATGGATCCGCCTTTTGGGGATGCCTTTCGAAGCCACACTTTTTCGGAACAGACTCTAATGAGCACAGATCTCTTAGCAAACAGTTCAGATCCAGATTTCATGTATGAACTGGTAAGTAACATTTGCTTGTATTCTTTGATTTGTGGTAAAAAGTGTTGTGGTAGAGATTTTTACTTAGAAAGGCCAAATTTGATTCTTGTGATTGTCAGTCTAGTAATTTTAGAAGGATGTATGAGCCCATTGAAAATAGTAAGAGGAATGGTTTTCTGAATATCCTTAGTCTGGTTTTTGATGAGGATGGGAAGCAGTCTTTCTTTAATATGTCTAAATACTAAAGGACTTTTCAGCTGGGAAATTTAAAAATGGTAACATTGAGCAAAGCATACACACACAGAATATGAGATAAAAAGTAGCAATTCCAAGCAATATCTGTTTTTTAACATAAAAGTGGCATACACACACAGAATATGAGATAAAAAGCAATTCCAAGCAATATCTGTTTTTTAACATAAAAGTATATGACGAAGCAGCCTTTCATGTTAGTCCATTAGAGCTTAACTGAATTCTTTGTAATGGCTGCATAGTCTTAATCACATTTTAAAATTGCATCTCTACTCATGAGGAGTATTTTATTTGCAAGGCTAAAAGTTGTTACAAGGTCTTCAAAGAGCTTCTTTTTCTGTGGCTGAGTTCCAACTCTCTTTGGATTGCTCTTTGCCTCTAACTTTAAGTTCTCATTTAAGAAGGCATATTCTTCTGTGATGAAGGTAAGGTCTTTACTATTTGCTTTGTAAACGAGCTTGTTTCTAAGGAGGTCCCACTATCCTTCTAGGTCAAAGATCAGGAAATATAAACTTCTTTTCAGGAAGAGTGTTTAAAGTAAAGTTTAATAGGCCTTGATATTTGCACCATACTTCAACCTCTCAAGGGACATGTTTTCCCTCTTTTTTTTTCTTGCCCAAGGAAATGATGTTACGTATATGGAATGGTAAAGTTTCATGTAAGTAGCCTTTATCTTAAAATAAAACAGAGCAGAGTTCAAGCACTTGTTCATCAATTTGATATATGAAAGTGGATGGAGGTGAATATTTCTTTCCTAAAATGTGGTGTGTTATTTTTTAAACCTTTCTCAGGATCGAGAGATGAACTACCAGCAGAATCCTAGAGACAGCTTCCTTTCTTTGGAGGACTGCAAAGACATTGAAAATCTGGAGTCTTTCACAGATGTCCTGGATAATGAGGGCACTTTAACCTCAAACTGGGAGCAGTGGGATACATACTGTGAAGACTTAACAAAGTACACCAAGCTAACCAGCTGTGACATCTGGGGAACAAAAGAAGTGGATTACTTGGGTCTTGATGATTTTTCCAGCCCTTACCAAGATGAAGAGGTCATAAGTAAAACTCCAACTTTGGCCCAGCTTAATAGTGAAGACTCGCAGTCTGTTTCTGATTCCCTGTATTACCCAGATTCACTTTTCAGTGTCAAACAGAATCCTTTGCCTTCTTCATTCCCTGGTAAAAAGCTTGCAAGCAGAGCAGCCGCCCCTGTGTGTTCTTCTAAGATTCTCCAAGCTGAGGTCCCTTTGTCAGACTGTGTCCAAAAAGCCAGTAAACCCACTTCAAGCACACAAATCATGGTGAAGACCAACATGCATCATACTGAGAAGGTGAACTTTCATGTTGAATGTAAAGACTATGTTAAAAAGGCAAAAGTAAAGATCAACCCAGTGCAGCAGAGCCGGCCATCGCTGAGCCAGGTTCACGCAGACGCAGCAAAGGAGAACACCTGCTACTGTGGGGTGGTAGCAAAGAGGCCAGAAAAGAAAGGGACGGAGCCTCTCCAGGGTCATGCCACTCCAGCTTTGCCTTTTAAAGAAACCCAGGAACTACTACTCAGTCCCCTGCCCCAGGAGGGTCCTGGGGCCATTGCTGCAGGAGAGAGTAGCAGCCTTTCTGCCAGCACATCGGTCTCAGATTCATCCCAGAAAAAAGAAGAGCACAATTATTCCCTTTTTGTCTCCGACAACTTGGGTGAACAGCCAACCAAATGCAGCCCTGAAGAAGAGGAGGACGACGAGGAGGATGTCGATGATGAGGACCATGATGAAGGATTTGGCAGCGAGCACGAACTTTCTGAAAATGAGGAGGAAGAGGAGGAGGAGGAGGAAGATTATGAAGATGACAAGGATGATGATATTAGTGACACTTTCTCTGAACCAGGTATTGTAATGCTTAGAGGCTTACAGACTGACCTGTCATTTCCTCTTATGTGGAAATAGGAAGTTTTGCTGTGGATGCTTTCTTTGTCTTAGTGTGAGGATTAAATGACTTAATATCTTGGCTCAGATATGTAATTGCTTTTTATCTATTCAGACAGCTCTAAAATAACCACTTTTGCTCATATTGTGGCTCATATGCTGATTCCTCGAGGGCTACTTCTAAATTTATTTTATGCTAAGTGACCTGATTTATCATTCTCTTGAGCAGCTGTGCAAAGATGCCAAGAATTGATTGGCTTAAAAATATTCGCTTTTTATGCACCAGTCCCTCTGTTATTGTTGAGGTAAGTTAGGAGTCCCTAGAATGGGGAACCAAGGGATGATGGTTTATGTTACTCATGACTATAACCAACAAAGCCTACTGAGTGAATAATGTAAAAGAGAGCTTTTTCTTTATCTGCTGCATCTCTTGTTTGCACAGTATTTTTCCACTTAAGAAAAATACCTGCTCTAATTGAATAAGCATGAAGGAGACTGTTTTATTTATATAGAGCGCTTACAAATAGAGGGAGAAAGTGAAACCTGTGGGGAAGTGGTCCACTTCAGCATTTACATGCTTGGGCTGTTGCTGCTGTTGGCTTGTGCAGTTTATTTATGAAAATGGCATTGCCAAGTGGAACACAGTTAATACACAAAGAAGTGAAGATCTTCAAGTTTAAGCAAAAGTTATTTTTTTTTCCAGAAATAATGTTGATATTGTAACGCCTACGTGAAAAATCAAGTTATTAAAAAACCTTACACATTGTCAAAGAAATCCCTTTCCGTTTGTTATGATGATTGCTGGAATTGCCAGCAGTCAGTATAAACATTGGTATTTAATTTTTGGAAGGGTTTTTAAGGCATAGTAGCTATATTGTAGGCACTGAAGCACTGTTATTACTGAAAGACTCCTTTTAGTGCAATCTTACTATTACACAAATGCTTAGCTTGATGTATTTGATACAACCAAGTTGTTTGACTTGGGTGTGGGGTTGCAACTAAGGAAAAGGTACATTAAGTTTAATGTGGAGGAAAGGAGGTTTTGCCTTTTCTTTGGTTTAGTGTAGAACTCTGTATAGTCTAGATAGAACAATTGTCTTTCCTCCTTAGCAGGAAAATTTTTCAACAAACTAATAAAATCTGCTTTGAAATATTTCAAGGGAAGTTGTCTTTGTAGCTGGTGGTTTACTCAGCTCCCTCCCATAGGAAGACCAGTGTGGTCCTCAAGTCTGGCAGTCAGCCCTATTGTTTAGAATTAGGATAGGAGGGTAGGGGAAGGGAGACCAACAGGAGACAGGTAGTAACTAAGGGAAATGGAAAGTGGGAGAAAGGAAGTGCCAGCTGGTGTTTAAAGGAATAGATAAATCAGTGAGTAAATCCCCCAACCCGGCAAGGAGCTATGCTATCTGCCCCACTTCTGGTTTTAGCTTTTCTTTTCTTTGACTTTTAACTTCACTTTAAATTCATTCTTGAGCTTTTTTTTTTTTTTTAATATATTTTTTATTGATTTTCTACAGAGAGGAAGGGAGAGAGATAGAGAGTTAGAAACATCGATGAGAGAGAAACATCGATCAGCTGCCTCCTGCACATCTCCCACGGGGGATGTGCCCGCAACCCAGGTACATGCCCTTGACCGGAATCGAACCTGGGACCTTTCAGTCCGCAGGCCGACGCTCTATCCACTGAGCCAAACCGGTTTCGGCATTCTTGAGCTTTTGACTTGGTTTTGTGTTGGGAGCTGAGTGGGTCCATGAAGAGAGGCACTTGGTAGATTGACCCTCATTTCCATTTTCTCAGCCTTTGACTCTGATAAGGCAGGGGAACCGGTGTTACAGGTGGTATTGTCCAGTTAGGCCGCATTTCCTTGCTGGTGTGAAGAAGCAACCAGCGCTGCTTTAAAACAGAGCTAGGGCTGGCTCTCCTCTTGGTGCAGCTTCACAGTGCTGAGTGTTTGGATGGCATTGAATTCACTCACTCTCAGTTGACTTCAAGTACAACCTCCTTGGTTAGTATCACTTATTAGTTCCCACAAATGTTAATGAATGATGTTCTTAAGTCAGTACAGTTTTGTGGTTGTAACTGGGCTTTATTCATATTTGCTAATGAAAATTTCCCTGTTTCTTGAAAGAAAGAGCTAAGCAAGCGACTTTAGGGATGCAAAAGTGAATTATTGGTGAGAAGCAGGAAGGAATTCTTTGAAGCTGAAAAGTGGGAATAGTTATAGTTTCTTCAGAGTGCTAGTTTTAGAGTGGGTTGATTGGTTTAATTTGCAGCGGACAGTTTATAAAGGCCCTTTTGTGGTGACTAGCTCCCTGGATGCTGGTTCTTGGCAGTCCGCTGCTACAGTGCCCAAGCCTACAAAGCTCTAGCAGAGGTGTAAATGGAGTTTCAGTCCCGACTCTGGACTGGCTCCCAGGTTTTAATAGAGCCTATTCTGTGGTCAGGCTACATGGCTTGGGGTCATGGAGTTACATGGGGTAAGATTAAGACTTGGGCCCCCAGAATGAGAGTTTATTTTGTAATCCCTACTAAACATTTTTACGATCGACTTTACCAGCTTAATGGCAGTAATCCTCACTAACCAAAGATGTGTGATTGGAATTTTAGGCAATAAATAATCCTTTTTTACTTTCTTTTGATAATCATGTCAGGAAGGAATGAGATCAGTATGGTGACCCATTAAATGAAAAAAAAAAAGGGGGGGAAAGGCTCGTGGGAAATGTTTGAGTGCCTCCTTTTGTGTCTGGCACTGTGTGTATTAGGCATTGGCTGTACAGAGGTGAGCAGAATGGACATGATCCTCGTCTTCATGGAGCTCAGAGTTGACTGGATCTATTTACTGTTGTATTTTCTGTTTTCTTTTTTTTTTTTAAATATATTTTATTGATTTTTTACAGAGAGGAAGGGAGAGAGATAGAGAATTAGAAACATCGATGAGAGAGAAACATCGATCAGCTGCCTCCTGCACATCTCCTACTGGGGATGTGCCCGCAACCCAGGTACATGCCCTTGACCGGAATCGAACCTGGGACCTTTCAGTCCGCAGACTGACGCTCTATCCACTGAGCCAAACCGGTCTTGGCTTTCTGTTTTCTAATACATTTATGTGCTGTGACTTGCAAGAGGGAGGTGCAGGATGAGTTTCTTACAACTTATTTGACCATAGAACTCACTTGGGTATGAAGGCATATCTTATAGTAATAGTGTTTCTCAGAACATGTTTTGGGAGATATTTAAAAACATTAAGTGCTAGACCAGTGATCTGGGAATATAATATTTCTGCATTTTACTGGATCATGGTAGTCTCTGTATTAAAAGGTGGATGACTTTAGCTACCAAGTCCATTGTGTGTGTGTGTGTGTGTGTGTACATGTGTGTACATTTGTACTACAGTGTATGCTATTAGAAAATGTGAAAATATTAGGTCAAAGAAAACTGATGATCCTTTAAGTACTTAAAAAAAGACAACATATATAAAGTAAGTAAAACTGGTAACTAATTTGGGTGGGATAGAAGAAATAAAAATCTTCATGACTCTGAATTTAATGTGGAATGTATATGAAAAAAAATCCACTCAGACCTTTTAACTGGATAGGCACAGGGAAAGTGGGACATTCAGCTGGAGCTAAACTCCTTGAGTTATGGGGCCTCAGTCAGTCCCAGGCTCTGCCCAGTCATTTAAACCCTCCATGAGTGTTTCTTTGTGAAAAGGAGGCTAATAATCTTGTCCTATCAGGTTCTTATAAGGCTGAAATGAAGTATCTGTAAGTGAAATATGTAAGGACAAGTTGCTAGCTAAGGGAGCATATCATATAGTGTTGGGGACATGGGTTCACCCCTTTCAGGCCACACTTCTGTGAGCTCTCACAAGTGCACGTAACCACCACCACCTGAGGAAGTTGTATATAAAAATGTTCGCCTGATGCTTGGGGCTGGAATAGACTTAAATGTGGAATACCAGTTCTTGATGTTGGCGGGAAGATGGGAGTGTTTGGGTTGGTCCATCTGCCAGTGTTAGGTGTTCCCAGGCATATGAGGGTAATCTCTGCGAGCCAGTAATTTTTGGTTGGCCTGGGCAAGGGCCTTTTTAAAAAGGCCATCTCAGGTGGCACAATGCGGCCATTGCACCTTTTCCAAAGCTACGTGGAAAACTGGGAACAAGATAAAATCTTCCGTTTGAAGCAAAGCATTCACACAAGTAAAAAGGCCAAAGCTATATAACAGTTTTTAAAAATCGGACTTCTAGAAATTATTGTGTCACTGGACTTGTGCATTATTTCTTAAAGAAGAACCTAAGGTTTGCGGTCCCACTGCTTGCCATGTTGTTCTAAAGAACCACAGGTGCACTCTAATGCTGTCCAGCACTTGTCCTGACTGTTGCCTCAACATCATTTGGCTCTTCAACTGATTCTCTTTTTAAAGGTCATGTGTATTGAGGCATAATTTTCACACAGTAAAATCCATTCCCTTTGTGCACACTTCTGTGAGTTTTGACAAAGTGCATGTCATAATGTAATCACCACACTCAAGACAGAAGAATTTGTCCCCCCCCCCCAGTTTCTCTCATGTTCCTTTATAGTTAGTCCTTCCCTCCACCCCCAGCTCCTGGCAATCACTTTGTCCCTATAATTTTGCCTTTTCTAGAATGTCATGTAAATGGAATCATATTCTTAATTCTTAATCTGAATAAAACCTGGAAAAATTATTTAACCCCCCCCCCCCCCCCCTGCAAACACTCAGATGTCATCACTTTCTTAGTATCAGTTCCAGAGGAGTCACATTTTTAGTAGGGAAAGTGGTCATTTTGCTTGGCCAGTGCAGCCCAGTTTTTTTCTGGCCACCTTAGGTTTAGGATGTGGACATCTGTGCATGGCCCATCCCCACTACCCCAGGTACCTAGCCCTAGTGCAGTGATGGTGAACCTATGACACGCGTGTCAGAGGTGACACGTGAACTCATTTTTTTGGTTGATTTTTCTTTGTTAAATGGCATTTAAATATATAAAATAAATATAAAAAATATAAGTCTTTGTTTTACTATGGTTGCAAATATCAAAAAATTTCTATATGTGACACGGCACCAGAGTTAAGTTAGGGTTTTGCAAAATGCTGACACGCCGAGCTCAAAAGGTTCGCCATCACTGCCCTAGTGCATGGAATACATACCCGGTGGGCATTCTCTGAGGGTACCTGAGATTGAGGCGTCAGCCTGTATTGGGACTGACCAGTTATCCCAGCAGCTCAGAATCACGTATTTTCTGAAATTTCCTGTTAGTAAGGAAAACAACTGCTTAAAAAATGAAGTAAATGCAGATTGTTTCCAGTAAAAATATTAGAATAGGCATATATGTTTGTTTGTTTGTTTTTAATATGGAAAGTTTCATGAATTTGCATGTCATCCTTGCGCAGGGGCCATGCTAATCTTATCTTTATCGTTCCAATTTTAGTACATGTGCTGCCGAAGCGAGCACGGCATATACGTTTTTAATAGCCTGTGTGAGAGCTGCCATTTGTGTGCTTTTACAAAAGGGGTGGGGTGGGAGGCACTGCTGCCGCACAAGATTCTGCCTAGTACGACATCACCCCAGAAATGCACACAGCTTTCTGTTGGCATGTGTCAGAGGCATTAATATTAAAAAGAAGACATTTTAAGATCACAGGATAGTGGCTAAGTACCATTATCTCATGGGGCTTTTGACATTTCTGTAGCTGTATTTCGTTATTCTCTCAATCCTATGTGAAGATACAGAGTGTCATATACCAACGTATGAAAACCAAAGAGAAACACCAAGAGGATAGTATCTCTGTCTGAATATTTTGAGTTAGAGATTCTATATGAAAAGTTATTTTATAGACCTGGTTTATAATCTTTGACATGCCAGTGATAAGCAATGATGTTTTCAGATGAAAGGAAATGTATCAAGTGACAAATAGAAGGATCTTTTTGTTTGTCCTGATTGGTTTATTGAAATCTGTGGCACTTAAACATTGGGGTGGGGGCTTTTTTTTTTTTAAGGCTATGAAAATGATTCCATGGAAGACTTGAAGGAGATGACTTCAGTATCCTCTCGGAAGAGAGGTAAGAGAAGGTACTTCTGGGAGTACAGTGAACAACTCACACCATCACAGCAAGAGAGGATGCTAAGGCCATCTGAATGGAACCGAGACACCTTGCCAAGTAATGTGTATCAGAAAAATGGCTTACATCATGGTAAGAGGGTATTGTGATCAAAGGTTTTGTGTCACTTTACATGTTTAATCATTGTATGTAGGTGTTCAACCCTTCCTAGCAAACTGGAGAGCGGAGCAGTAGAGCTGCTGTGTTTGCACAAATCGCTTTACCAGGGTTGAGCACCATTACCGAAACAGGGAGGCAAGCCTGTGCAAAAATGATTTCATGTCTAGTTACTTCCAAGAAATGATTAGGGAATTGCTGATTTCTGGCCTGTCACAGTTGCTATATAAACCATAGGGTTGGAAAGAAAGAGAACAGGCTCCAGCACTCATTTTCATTCTCATTCAGTCTCGAGGCCTAATATAAATGGGGAGATTGGGATCCACACAGTGGTGGGGAGAAAGAGGAGGGGGAGGAAAAGAAAGGAAAAATAGTTGTATGAGAAGGAATGGAGAGAGAAGAGTGGAAAATAAGGGTTGAGAGAAGTTTATAATCTTGGGTCAAATTTCGAATTGTGAACCCAGGACGATATAATTAAATAGAATTCCTTCTGCAAAAAATGTTATTTTTATGTTAATCCAAAATCTGTTCCATCCTTTTACATTAACCCATAGTGGAGGGCATTAGTAAGTTTGGTGCTCAGTACACAGTTTAATAATCACTCATGCTGCAGACTTGAGTTGCTAAGCATTTTTGACACTGGAATTGGATCAGAAGTATATGTGTGCCTCATTTTCCCTGGTACCCAGGTCTATACTTCACTGTCTCTCAATGAACAAAAACCCAGTTTTTGCCTTGAGATCAATTTTTCTACCTCAGTGAAAAGACAGGACCAGTAAATAGGTCCAGAAAGCATGTGGAGAGGACTAGGAAAGTTGTGTGGTGTACGTGGTTCTGAGGACAGAGCCATCCCTCGTTTGGCATATAACTCTTCCATGAGTTATATACCAAACTAACCAAAGAAGACCTTTCAAAAAAGGCAACCTTTACTTGATGGACTTTTGAATCCAACACAAGACTCTATATATTTGACACATGTTCAGTCAGAGCATCAAAGATCTAAAATCTCCAAAATCTTTTTCTGACCATATACGGTATTACACCCTAGCCCTGATGTTTGTGTGCAGGTGAACTTGTACTCCAGTCCTAAAGTTTGAGATGCTTTTTACTATCATGCAAATAATAAGAATCTGTCATACTGGGGCTGGAAACCTAGAGGTAATGAGGAATGGAAAGGCTGGAGCTGCATCATATTACCCCCATTTCTTGCCGTCACAAGGTGGGAAAGAGAGAAGGCTAGCAGTTCTAGCAGAGGGTGCTAACATTCTGAGACTTCTGAAACATGCCAAGACTTCTGAGCAAGAAAAGGGGGGTGAGGGAGATGCGGTTTTAAAATATGGCTGTAGAAAATGCATCTCTTGTTAAATAAAATGGTGTAACTTAAACTTCTTTTAAACCATCTGTAGGAAAATACGCAGTAAAGAAGTCAAGGAGAACTGACGTAGAAGACCTGACTCCCAACCCTAAAAAGCTGCTGCAGATCGGCAATGAGCTGCGGAAACTGAACAAAGTCATCAGTGACCTGACTCCAGTCAGTGAGCTCCCCTTAACTGCCCGGCCGCGGTCAAGGAAGGAAAAGAACAAGCTGGCTTCCAGGTCAGTGCTGGTCATGCTCATTCATGTAAGTGAAGTCTAGGGCAGTGATGGCGAACCTATGACACGCGTGTCAGAGGTGACACGCGAACTCATTTTTTTGGTTGATTTTTCTTTGTTAAATGGCATTTAAATATGTAAAATAAATATCAAAAATATAAGTCTTTGTTTTACTGTGGTTGCAAATATCAAAAAATTTCTATATGTGACACGGCACCAGAGTTAAGTTAGGGTTTTTCAAAATGCTGACACGCTGAGCTCAAAAGGTTCGCCATCACTGGTCTAGGAGGTGAGGCTAGCCTGGCAGCGAGCTTGTGTAGAAGCTCATGTGACCCTCAACCATTTATTCAGAAATGAACTTTTATAAAAGAGAATTATAATTTTTCCTTTGAAAGTAAAAGGCACTATTTATGCTTAATGGAAAAAGATTTTAAAGGGGAGAGGTAAATGAGCACAAGTCTAGTATAACAATGAAAATTTTTATCATAGCCTCGTGCTTTGTTTATTTTGTAGTAATTAAAATTCATCCCTTTTCATGTACGCTTTTATGAGTTTTGACAAACAGACTGATCATATAAGCACCACCGCAATCAAGATATTAAACATTTTCATCACCTTCAAAAATGTCCTCATGGTCCTTTGTTAACCCTTCTCCCGCCCTTAACCCCTCACCACCACCATCTGTGTTTTGTTTGTAGTTTCTAGAATGTCATATAGATGGAGTCATGCTGCAGATAGCCTTTTGACTGAGTTCTTTGGTTCAACATGATGCATTTGAGATTCATCCATGTTGCTGTGAGGAGTAATAGTTTGTTCCTTTGTATTGCTGAGTAGTATTCCTTTGTAGGAATGTACTACAGTTTATCCGTTCACCAGTTAAAGGACGTTTGGGTTGTTTACAGTTTGGGGCCATTGTGAGTAAAGCCACCACAAACATTCACTTAGAGGTGTTTGTGTGAACATAAGTTTTCATCTCTTCAGGGTAAATACCCAGGAGTGTGTGTATAATTTTATAAGAAAAACTGTCTAAGTAGTTATCTCCAAAGTAATAAAGCAAATTTTTTTAGAAGTTACTACTTCCCAAAGTAGCTATATGTCCTATTTTATATCCCCACCAGCAATCTATGAGGGCTTTATTTTTGAATATGCTTAAAATTTTTTAAAAATCAGTTCGGATAAATTATTATATTGTGGGTTTTTGGTAAATGAGTTACTATTGTTAGGCAGTGGTTTTTGGTTACTATTAGAAAATGTCTGACAGCAATAAAGAGAAGTATATTCTGAATGTTCACTTAAAAAAAGTGAATTAATTGTTTCTTCCTTTCACAGGGCTTGTCGATTAAAGAAAAAAGCCCAGTATGAAGCTAATAAAGTGAAATTATGGGGCCTCAACACAGAATATGGTAAACCTACACCTTTAAGAATTTGATTAACCTCCTCTTACTTTGCTGACCACTCTTTTCCTTAGGTTATGTTATTTGCTTTCCCTGTATTCTGCCCAGCCTCCTTTTTGTTAATCCATTCAGTAAGCTACATGCTCTTCTTACTCATTCCTGTCCTAGCGTGAGTGTCTCCATCTGGGGCTTCCCAGACAGATCTCATCTCTGCCCTGAGGAGCTCATTTACTTGTGAGCATGGTCATTTCTTTCTTTTATAGTGGTGTTGCTGGGTTAGCCAGATGTATTGACTATTGTTTATTTTAGTCTTTGAATGGATAGTTTAGATCTCTGGTTTACGAGGTTGATTGCACATTGGATTTGTCTCTGTGCATGTTGAAATACAGATTCCTAGGCTTCTTCCCAGATCCTCTGAATTGTAATCTGTGCAAGGAGTACCCAGGAATTTACATGTTGAACATGTAAATTTCATGTTCCTAGCGTATTTTGGGAATCGTTGGTTTAGATCAGTACTTCCCAATCTTTCACATCATGGCTCATGTAGAAAATTATCATCTCTAAGGCATCCTGGAATATAACAGTATCCCACTCATAGGAAGAGGCCCCTGTGGGCGGAGGGGACCATTTTCATACATCTAGAACCCTTAACACATTAAGCGCCATGTTAGTCACCGATGACTGACACTATACTTTGCATCCGGAACTCAGAACTCATCAGTCACTGGTGCCGCCAGCATATTGGTGAAATCGGATATCTCGGGCTAACGGGAAAGGAAGACAAGATAGGCTTGGCGCTTAACGTGTTAATAGCACACTAGGGGGTTAGAAAGCTCTGTTACTGTTCCTTAAGCTTGGTACCATAGAGTTTGCATGTTCCTTTGCCTCTAAAATTGTCAACTTCACTGTGTAGCTTTTCGACTAAGTTGTATCAGAAAGTGAAACAGTGGCAAAATGATCAATTATTATTTGTGTCTAGAGATTTTCTTAAGTCCAGCATGATGTCTGGCACATAGGTGCTCATAAACTTGTGTAGTTTTTCTTAATCCTTGATCTTGATTATCTTGTTTCCATTTGTGAGGGCAGAAAGAGAATTTCCAGCTGTGAAGTTTATAACTTGTTAAACGAACTGATGTTTTTATTTATTAATGGCCATTCTAATCAAGGTAAATGAATTAGATGAAACAATAGTTGGCTTCTTGGAATGGAAATCTACTCCATTTTCCTACTATTCTTTCTTGCTGTTGAAGGATTTTGAGTTTGAGCTCTGTGAATATGTATAGATGTAATTATTGTAATGTCACGGCATTTGTATGTCTTTTAGAACCCAGCTGGCTCACACTGCAGGGGGATGTGGTGGGCCACCGGGAGCCTTCTGGGTCTCTGGTTCTTTGGACACATGTTGGCATCTATCTTTGTGTTGTTCAGTTAATGTATTTATCCATGATTATGTACAGCTCTGTGGCTGTATATTTTTGCATTTGTTAAATCAATTGACCAGGTATGTATGGGTCTACTTCTGAACTCTGTACTCTGTCCCATTGATCTATTTGTCTATCTTTATTTTATGTAAACGATCTTGATTACTGTATTTTATAGTAAATCTTAAAGTCAGGTAGTGTTAGTCCTTGCTAGTTCTCCAATTTTGTTCTTTCCTTTCAAAGTTGTTTTGGCTATTCTAGGTCCTTTGCATGACCATATAATTTTAGAATTAATGTATCACCTTTTGAAGAAAAAGCTTAGTGAAATTTGATTGGATTGCTTTGAGTGTGTGTAAATCAATTTTGAGAGAATTACCATCTTAACAAAATGGAGTTTTCCAATTCATTAACTTTATTTTCAAACTCTTTGCAGATTATAAATGCATATGAAATGGATTTTTTAGTATTATTCTTGTATCTTATCTTGCTAAATTTGTTTACCAGTTCTAGTAGTAGGTATGTAGATGCTCTGGGATTTTTATTGAAGCAATTATCATTCTCAAATAGGGAAAAGATTGTGTTTTTTAATCTGCACCAGAGGTTTTTATTGACTTTATATAGAGGGGAAGGGAGAGAGAGAAACACATTGATGTGAGAGAGAAATGCACCTCAACCGGAGATTGAACCCTCAACCTTTCGGTGTATGGGATGATGCTCCAGCCAACTGAGCCACACCAGCCAGGGCTAAATACGGAAGGTTTTATTTCTTCCTTTCTGATCTTTATGCCTTTTATTTATTTTCATTGCCTATTGCAATGTCTAGGACATTGAACACAAGTGGTGATTACTTGGTTTGCAATTTTGGGGTGGAGGTGAGTAACTTCACATTTAAGTATGATGTCGGCTGTAGGCTTTTTTTGCAGATGAGATGCCTCTATCATTTGGAGTAAGTTGAATTTTTTTCCTAGTTTCATTGATCAAGAATAGGTATTTAGTATTGTCATATAAGGGATTTTTTTGCATTTATTAGAATAATCATGTTGTATTATCCTTTTTTTCCTACTAATATATTACATATTCACCTGTTAATATGGTGAATTACATTAACTGATTTTTAAATATAAAACCAACCTTGCATTATTAATAAACTCTACTTGGATATGGTGTATTTTCCTTTTTATAGTAGAGTCTATTGCAAATAGTTCATTAAAGATTTTTGTGTCTATATTCAGTAGGGATATTAGTCTATAATTTTTCCTTTTTATAATGTCTTTGTCACGTTTAGGTTTTGGGCTATCCTTGCCTTATGGAATGAAGTGAGCCATAATCTTTATCTTTTTAAAAAACTTTAAGATCAATTTTATTTCTTCATTGTATGTTTGTTAGAATTTGCCATTAAAACCATCTGTTTTTTTGGGGGGCGGGGTGGAATATTTTTTGATAAATTCAACTCCTTACTAGAAATAGGCTGTTAGATTTTCCATTTCTTCTTGTTTTCAAGAAATTTGCCCATTTCATCCAAGTTGTTAAATTTGTTGGCATAACATTTCCTTATTATCTTTTTAATGGCTCTAGATTCTGAAGTAAAACCCCTTTTTCATTCTAGATATAGATAATCGATTGGTCTAGCTGGGGATGAGGATTGGGGGTAGGAGGAGGTATCCATTTTGTTGGTGTTTTCAAAGAACCAGCTTTAGGCTTTGTTAACTTTCGCTTTCTTTTGTGTTTGTGTTCAGTTTCATTGATTTCTGCTATTATCTTTATTATTTTCCTTCTTCTCTTTACTTTTGGTTAATTCTGCTCTTTCTCTTTAAGCTTTTTTTAAGATAGGGAAATTTGTTCTTAAATCTTTAGTCTTTGAAGGACTTTGTTTGATTTATTTAATAAACATTTACTAAGATCTTATGAATCGATATACTAGGCACTGTCATAGTTCTTAAAGCTATGAGGACAAATAGGGCAAGTTGCTTACAGGATAGTGGACATTGATACATGTCTTTAGTGTTTCATCAAAAGTGGCACATCAGCCCTAGTTGGTTTGGCTCAGTGGATAGAGCCTTGGCCTGCAGACTGAAGGGTCCTGGGTTCGATTCCAGTCAATGGCACATGCCCAGGTTGCGGGCTCGGTCCCCCGTAGGGGGCATGCAAGAGGCAGCCAGTCAGTGATTCTCTCTCATCATTGATGTTTCTGTCTCTCTCTCCCTCTCCCTTCCTCTCTGAAATCAATAAAAATAAATTTAAAAAAAAAAGTGCACATCATTTGAAATTAGTCTGCTTGGATAAGAAAGCTTATAACTATTACTGCTTAATGTTTTCTTAAACATTTTCCATTTTTTAATTGAATTTCTGTTATTACATAATTAAAAGCAAATTCTTCTATGTTAGTGACACACTCCAAGTGTCTTGTTCTGTCTTACAGATAATTTATTGTTTGTAATCAACTCCATCAAGCAAGAGATTGTAAACCGAGTACAGAATCCAAGAGAGGAGAAAGGACCCAACATGGGGCAGAAGCTTGAAATCCTCATTAAAGATACTCTTGGTAAGAAGAATACTGGATAATTAATAACAATAACAATATGTAGCGTAAAATATATGCTTCAAGAGGAAAAGAAAAAACTCAAGTGATCTCATTGTAGTTACTGTTTGTTACAAGTAGTTTTGTCTCTTTTTTAAAATATATATTTTATTTTTAAATATATTTTTATTGATTTTAGAGAGGAAGGGAGAGGGAGTGAGAAATAGAAACATTGATGATGAGAGAGAATCATTGCTTGGCTGCCTACTTTTGTCTTTTGAGATTTATCATTCATCAACATCTACTGCCCATTACCACGTGTTGTACTTAGATCTCATCACTGAACTATTTTAATTCTTGAGGAAGAAAAACTTCTAGCAATCTTAACTTTCTCTGGGGAAAAGGAAAATAAAGATCTCTGAGCTGTCAGGCCTGCAGTTTATACTGTAGTCAAAGTGCTTATCTGTTGGTTTTACCCCTAATACATGCCACAGGATTCTAACAAACTTGACTGCCTGATTTCCATCCCTGAACAAATTATACAACATGGGGAGGAACAGAGGTGGGCCTTCTGAAGTCAGGCACAGCTACCTGACCGGGAGAACAGGGCAGCTAACGCAGGCATAGGCGTGAGAACGCTGGCACCCGAGTGGATCACTTACAGATCAGCAGCATCCCTAGGGCTTTGAGGCAGAGCGCGATCTGTGAAGACCCTGAGGCATCATAAAATGGCTTTGGCTACATTACATATTCTTTGTGTTAAAGCATTTGTTTTATATTCTTTCAGTACATTTCTGTCTTCTGTTTCTTCTTCTCCAAAATGCTTTTCAGTCTTTCTTTGTTAAATAAAGGGAGGAATTTAGTGCTATAAGAAAAATTTCTTTTTGCCTTCTTATTTTTTAATTTAAAGGCCTTCTATGTTGATAAGTTTGTATATTCCCTTTACATCTAAAAGTCAGTTGTACCAGATACAAAATCCTTGACTAATTTTCTTTCTTTGAGTATGTTACATATGTTTCTCCATTTTTCTCTGGCACTAAGTGTTGCTATTGAAAAGCTAATAATTGCCTAATTTTTTCTTTATAAGTCATTTGCTATTTTTGCCTAGAAGTCGACAGGATTTTTTTCTTTTTCTTTAAATCCCAGTAGTTTTACTAGACTGTATCTTGGCATTGGTAATTTTAGGTTGCTATTCTCGTGTGCAGTGTGCTCTTTCGGTATGTAGTTTCCAATCTCTTTTTTTTTTTTCCTCTTTAAATCAGGCATTTTATAAACAAGAGCGCATACATTAATTACATAAAAATAGCTTTCGAATCGTAGAGCAAGTCATGTTGTCATTAGCAGCAGCAAAGGAGAGAACTGGAGGCGGTGGGTGTCCTGGCGGGGACAGAGGTAGAGCTTTGTTTTTTACTTGAGGAAGGACAAGCTTCCTCGGGAACCCACGGGCAGAGGCTGCGGCCCAACTCAGCACCCAGTCTCTTTAGGACTTACTCCCGTGCTTTGGTTTTCTTCTTTAAGGACTTATTACCTGTGGGTTGGTTTTTCTTTGCCTATTTTTAATGTTAAAATTCTTTCTCCCTTTCACTTCTGTTTCTCTTAAAAGCATTATTTGTTACATTTATTTGCTCTTGTGTTCCTTTTAGTTTTGCCTTAATTTCAAGAGTTAATTTTTTTAAATTTCTAATTCTTTTCTGAGTTCTGTCTTATTTCTGTTTTTCTATTTCTCATTATGCTGTTCTGTCATATCTTGTATCATTTTCTTTAATGTCTTCCAGTTCATTTTGAAATAATAATGGGTTATAGTTTTCATCCTTTTTATGGTTATTCATGCCTTTTAGGCACAGTTTTATTGTTTGTAGCAATCTTATTTTCTTTGGTCTTACTTTTTATGGGATTTTGACCTTGATACTTTTCTGTTATTTATTTGTATGTGAAATTAGTTTTTTGAACTTTCAAAAGAAAGTTTTGTTCACGATAGCTTTTCTAACTTCAAACTTCACAGAAACCCCTGTTTTTGGTTAATGTAAAAAATTTTGCATTTGTTCATGAGATGGTCATTCATGTCCAGCCACAAGAGAGGACACAGGAGAGGAGCAGGGAAAGAAAGTTCATCCTAGAGAGACCAGTCACTGCAGGCCACAGCGAGGCCGCAGTGAGGCACAGGGACGGAGTCTAAGGGAACACCCGAGCAAGCAGGTGGGGAAGAGCGAGAGAGAGAGAAGCAAACCAGGGAAGTGCCTTTCATAGGGGTCAAGGTGGTACAAAAGCAAAGGTGTGAGGGGATTTATTTGATTCATTTGAGTCATTAGGCCACAGTCAGGTGAGGGCAAGAAGAGGAACTCTGGCAGGGCCAGCCTGTCACACGTGCACACGGCAGCTTTCTTCCTGAGATTTCTTGTTCTGTGTCCCTCCCCATTTTATCTGGACCATTCTTTCTTACCTATTGTCCCTGTCTTGCTCAGTTTTTATTCTTATCCATTCTGGCTCCTGTCCTGCAAGGGAGTCATGGCTGGTCAGTTTTCTGAGTTCACACGGGCTACACACTGCAGCCCCTTCTCCTCTTCCTGTGGGCTCCTTGCACTCGCCCCGGACTCACTGTTCAGTTGGACTAGATCTCTCACAGTCCAGCTGTCTTCCTGTCGGCCTCCTGTGCCTTCCGGTGGTTCACCTGTTGGCTGTTTTAGACTTCCTTTGTTCCCAGGTCCATTACTTCTTCTGACTCATCCCGCACAAACATTGATATTGTTGATACCAAGCAGGTTTTATAGCTTTTCGTAGTTTCTTCCCATCCTCTTGAATTTTGGATTCCTGTCACTTGTTTAAATTTTCCATGGGCTTATGGGGTTTTTGTTTGTTTGTTCAAGTATATTTTTATTGATTTTTTTTTTTTTGATTGAGAGGAAGGAAGAGGGGGAGAGAGAAACATTAGTTGGCTGCCTCCTGCATGCCCCTTATCGGGAATTGAGCCAGCAACCCGATCATGTGCCCTAACTGGGAATCAAACTGGTGACCTCTTTTTTAAAAATTAATTAATTTTTTTGTTAATCCTCACCTGAGGCTATTTTTCCATTGATTTTTAGGGAGAGTAGAAGAGAAAGGGAAAGACAGAGAGAAACATTGATGTGAGAAAAACACATCGATTGGTTGCCTCCTGCATGAGCCCTGGCCAGGGCCCAGGCTGGGGGGGGGGCCTGCAACCAAGGTACGTGCCCTTGACTGGAATCGAACCCGGGACCCTTTGGTCTGCAGGCCGACGCTCTATCCACCCAGCAAAACTGGCCAGGATACAGTTTCTTTTTCTTAAAGGTTTGGTAGAACACTCTTTGAAACTATCTGGTCCAGTGGGTTTTTTGGTAATTAACTTAGAAAACATCCTATGCCCTCTATGATAATTTGTCAGTTAGATTATAACCTTCTGGACTATTTTGATAATTTATATATTCCTAGAAAATTATTCCCTTCCTCTAGGCCCTCCAATGTATTAAAATTGCCTTTGTTTTTTAATTTCCTCTCTATCAGTGGCTAGTGTTCCATTTTTATTTTTTATTTGATACCTATTGTGTTCTTTATTCCTTGAGTCAGTCAGTTATAGTATGTCTTACTTAATCTCCCAAAGAACCAGTTCTTGAATTTATTAGTTTTTCTAATTTCTTCAGTTAAATGCTTATTTCATTTCTTTTTATTTTCTTATTATTAACAATTAAAAGCCTTTGAAATTTCTTTCAACCTCTATGTTAGCTGTATTTCATAAATTCTGATGTCGTATTTTAATTGTTTTCTGAATTCTTCGTAACTTTAGGTTTGATTTACTCTTTGACCTAAGAATTGTTTGAGAGAGATTAAAAATTTTCCAGAAGGTAGGGATCATTATTTCTTAGTTTTATTATTAACTTCTATTTTTTGTGATTTATTGAGATTCTTTAGCTACCTAATATATCATTACACTTTTAAATGTTTTGTAGGCTTTTGAAAAGAAGATGTATTTTCTATTTTATAGCAAGATTCTAGTACATGTCTATTAGATGTTCTTAATTAGGTCTTGTCTTCTTTTCCTTTTTATTTCTGTAGGGGTGTCCCATCTACATTATGTAGCACGGAGCAAAGCCCCTCTAAGGTGCTTCAGTGTCTTCTCGTGTTTTCTGTGGTCTTGCTTTTGAATGCTGGGCCGTTTGAATAAGATTCCTACGGCTAGGTCTTAATGATGGAATATATTCTTTATCATTGTGAATTCGGTCTTATCTGATATTATAATCATGAATGCAGCTTTCTTACTATTTATTTGTATATGCTTGATATCCCTTTGCCTACTACCCTTTTAATTTCTATCTTTCTGAATCACTGAACATAGATACATCTCTTTAAAAACACATTTAAAATTTAATTTAATTTTTGATTTGCATACCATAAAATTCACTCTTAGATTTTTTTTGTTAGTGAATCTGGCAGTTTTTCTCCAATAGGTGAGTTTAGCTCATCTTTATTCTTGATATATGTTCGGTTTGAGTTCTGTCATTAAAGATCTGTTAGGATTTGCTCATATGGCTTTTTTATTTTTTTGCCTTTCCCATGTCATTCACTGTATGATCCATTTTTATAGTTTCATTTTTGTATGGTCTGATCATTTGCAAGCTCTGCATTTTTGTCTTTTGGGCTGTTATTACTTGTCATCTACCCCACTTTAAAATGTTGATTAACTATTCTTTATGGTCATCCTTGATTTGACCCTTTTAATCTTAAAATTGTGGGCTCCAATTTAATTGTGGAAGTATTTTCTGGGCTGCAGTAACCAGGAGCAGAGCACTCATCAGGGACCCGTGTCAGCTGAGGGCCAGCACACTGCCACCAATGCCCTCTCCTTCCTGTGTCTAAGTGCACCTTTTTGTTCTTCCCCTCAGGTCTCCCAGTTGCTGGGCAAACGTCAGAATTTGTTAACCAAGTGTTAGAGAAGACCGCAGAAGGCAACCCCACCGGAGGCCTTGTAGGACTAAGGATACCAGCATCAAAAGTGTAATCAGCTTCATTGGACCACTGGTCAGAAATGTCTGAGTTTGTTATGTTATTCATTGTAAATTTTCATTCTGTTTTGCATGTCAGTTTGGCATTATGTACACATTTACAATTAGGTTACATTGTTTTAAGAACTAAGTAGCATAAGCGACGCATGATCCAAAATACTTGATTATTGCATTTTCAGAGCATAAACCATGGTTACAACTGCTACTGGCATCAGAATTGAAACTCGTATATTTAACTAAATGTTTAGATACAGATTTCAAAAATCTGTTAAAGAGAAACATTTTGGAGGGGTGAAGATATTAGTAAATGCCATATATTGTGGCAGGTTTATGCTCTGAACCACACAAAAAAATCGAGGAAGCATTTTTTAAAAACAGTTTAGATTGTTTTTAGAATTATTGCTTTTTGTTCGAATTTTCCACAACCATTAATGTCACTTGTACATGGCACAACCCAGCACTCATGCCCGTGTGCCATATTAGATATTCATTTTCTGAGCTCAATATGGTGTGTGTGTGTGTGTGTGTATATATGTATATATATATACACACACACACACATATATATGTATATGTCTGTGCAAGTAAGAAAAAAAAGCATATTCTTTGTGCCTTGTATTTTGGGGAAACTATAAAACTGGTAATATTTTGTATGATGAAAACCCTAATGAGGAAAAACAAGATATATAGATGGAAAAATTATGGGGTTTAAATGTTTTTTTGTTGCAACTCTTTTTCAGATTTTTTGAATGTATATAGGACTATGTTGAAATGTAGATATATGCCACAGAGTCTATGTATTGTATAAAAAAAACAAAAAAAAACAAAAACAAAAACAAAAAAAAAGATGGCTCTAGAAAACTCATATTTCGGTACTTGACCGGAAGAAGACAAATACTTGCACATTATTACGATTGTTTTATTTTTTGTACCAAAGACAAATGCAACTGATATGGCAAACTGCCAGTCTAAGTAAAGTTTTGCACAGCTTACATGATACTGTATGAATGTATGACTGAAAGGAGAAAAAAAGAAAACGAAAAGGTCAGGGTTAGGGATCTTACTGAACTGTGAATTTTATTTCTGTTTGGGTCCAATTATCTACAGAAGGAGCATCCACACATATAAATATTATTTTGCTGTTCCTCTAGTTCGCTTCCATAGTAGATAAGTTGGTGGCCATTTAGGTGTCTGTCTTTTTATTTCTGCACTTATTGTAGGAAATTTTAATATATTTCATTTTAGTAAGCTATTGATAAAATAGTTTTTGGCCTTGAAAATTTAAAGGTTATTTAGTATACTTCCACCAAACAACCAAAATACAGATTATTTTTATTGTATTATGTACATATATATATGTAAAGAAAGAGAAAAGCTAAAAATATCTAATTCTTTAGTTGCCACTTTTCCAATCGATGTATTATTGTGCATGTAATATTTTCAAAGATCAACACAAGCTTAAAACAAAAACAAAAAAAATTTATAGATTTTTATATTTTTGTACAGGTATTTTCAAACTAGCTTCTTCAGACTTACATGTGACTTCTTTTATAGTTTCTAGAACTGAGAACTATTAACACATTTAGTTTTTAGGTGCTCTGTTTTGCTCACATAAAACAGCTTCATTAGTCAGTGTTTTAACTATGTTAAAGCTTTATCTCTTGAGGAGAAATTTCTTTGTCAAGGCAACATTATAAACCTTTCCACAGATCTTTCCATCCTATCTCTCTTACTGTTTTATTCTCAAATCTTGTGGTTTGAAGTCTGAAAAAAACTATACTTTAAAAAAAAATTCCTACCTAACCAGAAAAAAATAATACCAAAAATTTCAGACCTAGCTGCTGGGAGAGTATCTGTTTCTCCATTACCCGTCGGAGAATTTATTATTTAGTTATATTTTGTCTGTATAGTGTATTTCATTTTCTTTTACTCACCTCACCCCCGTCCATTTGTAAGTGACAGCACATGAAGCTATAGCTTACAAAGGTTTGGATCTAAAACACACAGCAACGTCTGAGCAATGCTTACCAAGCTTCTTTGACATTATGAACTGTGATGCACCAGATTTCCTGTGTGCTGGGTGGAAATGTACCTACTTAGTGCATTCACACTGAACAGATGATAAGCTCAGATCGATGGTTGAATAGAGTATATAAGTTCATTGTTTAAAGTGTTTCCTTTTTCAGTGGGAGAAGGCAAAGCACAAGTTTGTAACTTGGAAGTATATGAAGTTTTGACAGAGTGTGTCTGGCAAATTAAAATGTATTCCAAAATCTGGCAGTTTTGCAATCAGGTGAAAATCACTTCATGATAGAGATTCAACTGATGAGGTTTATAAAATTGCCCCTTTCTAGCTGCTCTGTTAGAAATTCTGGTTTTTGATACTTTTTTCCTCTCTGCAAACCAGAATTTGATTTTTTGGTCTTGCATTTCAAAAAAGACTTTGAATCTGTTTAGTAGATTCCATATCCTTGCATTTCAGTGTTTTATATGTACTACTTAAGTTAAATAGTTAAAAGCTTTTAAATAGTTGAGCTTTTTAATGTTGACACTTTATTTTGTACCTATTTATATATGTATGTATATCTTAGAAAAGCACTTTGTTAAAAAAAAATGCATTTTATATGATTCCTGCCATTTGCTGCTAAATCTGGGCTGGTCAGAATGCTGCAGCGATACTTGATCTCAATAAAAACCTGGCAGTAAAATGTAGAGTGGAAGTTAAATCCTCTTGCTGTTTAACTTATCATAAAGATGACATAGGCAAGCTGTGCAGCTTTACATTTTAACCAGGGGACTCTGTGGCATTTAAAACCGTCTAGAAATGGTTGTACTTTAATGCCAGTAATAATCTGCTTCCTCTATTGTCATTAAATATATCCGTTTAGTGTATCACACAAACAGATCTTATAAGGGTAATGTAAAAACCCCAACAATTGTACATGTTCTGTTTTTGAAATTGTGGCATGTGTTTTTGGGTGAAGACTGTTAGAGAAGAGCTCTCTAATGGTTTTGTGTGTTCATACATGGTATCCAGATAGTCATAATGAAGTCCAGAACCCTACTTTCAGTGAAGGCATTGTGAATTCACCTCCAGTGAACCCCTTGTTCCAAAAGCAATGATAGGAACGTTGACTCTAGTACTACTATGATTTAAAAACAAACAAAAAACACAAAAAAGTTCTTCCTCGTTTTCGATACACTGGATCTTTGTAGAGTCTGTCTCCATATGAAAGCATGCTGTCCAGTTGTTCTTGTTAAGATCTTGTCTAAGTTTTGAATTGGGTGCCACACTTTTTCAGTCAATACGATTGCTTGTTCTACTGTACCATGTATGATTCTTGTCCCTTCCTATATTCTTCATGACAGATTATGATGTGGCTTTATATTGTGCCTTACTTGTACATGAAAACAAAACGTCTTCATTCCCTCCACTTCCTCAGTCTTTCACTTTGACCTTTTTGGTAAGAGAATCAGAGCTATTACAAAAACATCATGAAGGAGTTCAGATGGGTACGGTTTCAAATTCCCTCTCTTTAGAGTTATTTTATATTTGTATGAAAGACCAGTTTTGAATGGTCTTTGAATATGAGGGGGAAAGATTAGCGGTAATTTCACTACATCCCTTTTTTCTGACTTTCATGAATTTGTCATACATCTTCTTTCTGATGCTTGACTTTATTTGCTCCTTCGCAATCGTCTGCATTTAAAGAAAGGTGTGTTCCGTTCATCAGCTTGAAATTAACTCTTTCATTTTTCCAGAATTTTTTAGAAGAGTACCCGTTTTGTTTGTTTTATAAAACAGATGACACGTCTCTTTAAAAGAAACAGAAGTACAGTACTTTTGAAATACAATGCTGTTAGTTTGGATTTCTTTTTTATATATAATACTCATACAATTATCTCATGTTTGCCTTCATTAATAAAGCTGTTAGTTTATTCACCAAAATGTCAAGAATGGATGTGCTTTTCTTTATTCCATACATTTAAAAATATTTTAGCTGCTAAGATTTAGTTCACTTTCTAAGAGACGAATTCAAGTTGCCTTCAGCAGGAGTTAACAAAAACTTAGGTTCCCTTTCTTTATATAGTCTTCCTGAAATTCTGTTTAAGTATTTTCTAGTTCATTATGTAACAGAATGTTAGCATCTCTCCAAATCTTGAAACTTGAATTTTGAGAATGCATTGAATTATGCTTTCAGTGTTAAAGTAAAAGGTTTCAGTTATCCTTCTAGTGAAGTCTATTGTGGAATACCATTTCCCATGGAACTGAGGCCATTTCCACAACTTTGCACAAAACTCCAGTCTTGTTCTTCCCTTGAATCATGACAAATACGTCTCACACAGTGCCGTAATACTTGTGGATTCTTTTGTAATCTTTGTAATCTAAATAAGGGCATTATGAGAAGATGACTCCATGCTTTTTTAATATTTCAAACACATTGGGATGTAACAATGACCGTCAGCTGTAGGGATGGTTGTTTCGTTTTAAGGAATAAGCGTGTGGGGGAATGATGAAATGTACTACTGAATGTGGAACGCTTCAATAGGCAGGCAGGGTTATGTGTTGAAGCATAATCCTCATGCTTAGTAAACTGAATGACGTTGTAGACATTGCACCTAGGAACTGAATTCTGCCAAACTGCCATTTTCGTTTAGAAAAGAAAGACTTGGGGGTAGTCGTGAGGGAATAGAACCTTAAAACTACTTTCAAATAGTATTCTGGAGACTTGTCGGTGACCAGTGCAGAACCGTGTGCCAAGTTCTAGGTGAACTAGGTTTGCCTCTTTCATAACGATGTAATCACAGTGGTGTCATTCATTAAAGTCCGGGTGGATGGGAGCGGGACTGATTACTGTGTCTTGCCCTTCGCCCCCCCCCCTTTTTTTTTTTTCAGAACCAAATAACAGAAATGTGTATGTGTGTACTGTATCTGCCTTCCCAGCACATTTTTATGACACTGTATTCCACTGCCTGCCTTTTTAACCTTCTGTCCCTAGGGTTCGTCCTGTAACTTAGCATTGGTGGTTAAGTGATGCTAGGGCTGACCTGTGCGTAAGAAGTCACAGAGGAGCAGAAGGGCAAGAATTCAGAGCGTTTGTTCATGCAATGTGGCCGCCTCTCTTGCATAGCCGCATAGGATCCTGTTTGTAATGCTATCAGATTCTGTCGTTTTGTTCCCCTGTCCCCTACCCCACACCCCCACAACTGGAGCTATGAAACTTTATTGGATTCAGTCTTGTCTTTTGTCTAGAAAGAATTTTATCTTGTTGACGCATGAGCTGTTTAAAATTTATTCTATTAAATGTTGGTTAATAGCTGTGCAGTTTTTCTTTTCAGAAGAAAAGGCAATTCCAATGTTGCCTTTGTTCTCTGTCACCTTCCAACCCCTCGGCACTTCTAGTCAGATACAGACTCATCTGTGTATGCAACATCCTTTGTAATTTAAAATAAAAAAAAAAGATGAAAAGGTTTTGAATTGTTGGCCTCATGTTTTCACCCTTCCTGTCTCTGGCTTTTTGGAGGCTTACCAAGGTAACCCTGGGGGAACATTGAGCTGTTATGTAGATGTATTGATAAACATTGGCATTTTTCACAGCTCAGAGCATAGTTTTGTTTATACTTATTTCTCTTCGATTCTTTGGGCAAGCGATTTCTCTGTGGGAAATAAAATATTTTGAGTCTCTTCTCACTCAAACGTTTGCATGTTTAATAGTTTAAGTAAGAACACACAGAGCCTGAGCCGGGACCGGCGTGAACACCACCACAGCAGAGTGCTCCTCCTGCCAGCGCCTGTGCTGGGTGCTGGGCTCCGAGGAGACTCGAGAGACCCCAGGAACTTCCGGCCTGCTGAACGGGGCAGCTGTGAACAGGATCGCAGAACAACACAGGAGTTGTTACATGCGCAGAGGGCTCTGGGCATGTTACCACCCAAGTATTTGTGAGGACGCAGGTGCCACGTCAGCGGGGTGTCAGAGAAGAATTGACCAGCCTGTGCGCCTGGGCCCTGGAAGAAGCCCTCTTTGCTCCATTTGAGTGACACTGAGCCTGTCAGGAAGCAGATGGACATGGCCTCGCACGGACTCGTTCTGCTTCAGGACCTGATCTCTTGAGACCGCCCCTCATGGGAGCCTCTGCCGTGGCCCAGGAACCGGGAGCTGGGGGAGCCAGGTCAGTGCAGTTCTCAGGAAACTAACCCTCTGGGAGTGGTCTGCAGCTCACCGACATTGATGGGGAACCAGGAGAGCTCCTCAGCCACCAAGGAAAACACTGGTTGGGAAATACTTTAGTGTCTCGACTGGAAGGTTCAGAACAGCAAGGAGGAGTTAAAGTCCTAGAAGGCGAGGGTGGTGCCCAGGAAGCCGCCCCCCGCCAGGTGCTGTCCCATCAGGGAACCCAGCGGCTGCTCTCAATGGCCCAGCGAGGTGGGTAGTCATCAGACTAGACGTAGAGGAGGGGACTCACCCAGACCCAGCCGACGTGAGACGATTCATGTTCATCTCTAAGGGACCAGGCCGTGTCGCAGGCACTGTTGGGAAATAAAGGGCTTAGAATCTGAAAACCAGGAAGAACCAGAGCCCAAGTGTAGCAGATGGAGGAACCAAAAGCTAGCCTCAGGATCAGTGGGGAAAGACGAAGGGAACAAAACAGCGTTGGCACTTGTAATGGGACTGTGGGTCCCCAGATCGCATACCTATCCCTCAAAGATGGCTTCTAGCTGGCGGGCTTAGAACTGGATCACTTTGTTAGAAGGGACTGTGTGGGAGGGTGGAGAAAAGGGGAGCTGTATTTTCTTTTTTAGTTGCAGAGAGATGCAATTGGAGACTGTCGATTGCATAGGAATTTGCAGCAAGAAGCAGGATGTGAAAGGGGCCCAAGGTCACTCGGGCAGATCTGCTGGCCAACTTCAGGCTTCTTCACTGTCCTAAATAGGGAGCGTCTGTTTGAGGATCCAGAACGTTTGACCTGAAAAATGCCAACCTCCATCTCTTTAAAAAGTTTTAATCTTAAAATAACAGCCAGGAGTTAACAGGAGATGTACAAGGTCCAAAGAAATCTTGAAAATACTATGAAGGACACAGAAAACTTGAACAAATGCAAAGATAGACCAAGTTCTTGAACAGGAGCAGTCAGTAACACAAAGTTGTCAGTCTTCCTGCATTAAATAGAAAATTGAATGCTGTCCCAGTAAGGACATACCAATGGGGTTAAAAAAACAAACTTTAACATGAGTTCACATAGGAAAAATTATAGGTGGGAGCTACTGGGAGCAAAGCAGCTGGTGTTGAATCCCCAACAGATATTAAGACACACAAAACTATAATAATTAAAAGTGTCATTTTGGTGCATGAATGACTTGGTAGGCCAACAGACTAGAAATACATTCAAACTTAAGAATGTAGTATGGCCGAAACCGGTTTGGCTCAGTGGATAGAGCGTCGGCCTGTGGACTGAAAAGTCCTGGGTTCGATTCCGGTCAAGGGCATGTACCTGGGTTGCGGGCACATCCCCGGTGGGAGATGTGCAGGAGGCAGCTGATCGATGTTTCTCTCCCATTGATGTTTCTAACTCTCTATCTCTCTCCCTTCCTCTCTGTAAAAAATCAATAAAATATATTAAAAAAAAGAAAAAAGAATGTAGTATGTAAATGTGGCATCCCGAACCAGTGAGAAAAAAATGGATTATTCAGAAAATAGTGTTGGAACAACTGGGTAACCCCCCTCTGGAAAAAGTAAAGGCTCCATACTTCATACCAATAAGTCACCATACGTTTTGGTAAAGACCTATATGTGAAAAAAACAAAAAACCCAGAAGAAACCATAGAAACAATTCTCAGTGGTGGGCGAAGGCCTTCCCTAACTTGGATCCCAAATCCAGGAGTCATAAAAGAAGATTGATAAATTCTTCTTTTGAAACAAAAATTAAACAATTTTTGGAGCACTTCCTGTGTGACAGGCTCTAAGGTTAAAAAACAGCCAATTAAAATTTCTATAGACGAAGAAAAAAGCTCATAGGTAAGAGCTAATCCTTCAGTAAATAAAGAGCTCTAGGGAATTGACAGGGAAAAGACCAACAGCCCAATGAAGAAATGAGCAGACAATAAATACAAATAATTTTCAACCGCATTCACAAGAAGAGAAATGCAGATTTTAAAAATGGCATTTTTCACTTGATCAGATCGGCAAACATCCCAGTGTTGAACACACCATGTTGCCCGGGCCGTGGGAAGCAGGCATGCCGGAGGGAGTGTAAACTCCCACAGATCAGGCCTCTGTGAAGAGCGGTTTGGTGGCGAGGGCCAGAACTTTCAAATGCCCATGCCCTTGGACCTGGCAATTCCATTTGCGCTGGGCCAGTCGTCACTCCCGGTGCCGGTTTCCTCGCGTGTAAAAAGGGGATAATTCTACCTCCTGGGGCTGTCGTGAGAGTTAAGTTAGATAATACACATATAGCACGTTGTACAAAGAGCCTGCCACACAGGAAGTGCTCCAAAATGTCAGTATAATGTAGTAATAGCAGCCAGCGCGCATGCGCTCCGGCCCAGGCCACTTTCCCACGCTGCGCTGGGTGCTTCTCCCCCCCCCCCCCCCCCCCGAGTCCTCCGGCCAACCCTGCGCTTCCCACCAGGTGGCCCCTGGGGGGACTGGGCCACAGAGGTGGGATGTGGGTGCACTGTCAAATAGGAAACATACAAGAAAACTTAAAGAAATCGAAAACACTGTCAATGCCACCTTCCAGGGACATCCCAACTGATACTTTTCCAGGCTTTAAACTTTTCCCTCCTCCTCTCTATGCAAAAAAAAAAAAAAATCTGTCATCCTTAGAATGGCTGATCTGCGGGAGATGGGGAGAGGCCACCGTGAAAGTGTTCTTGATGTTCCCTCCTCTTCCTCTCCGTTTTGTTTTTCCCTAGGACCACACGAAAAGGCGAGGCTGAATTACCCCCACGTGCCGAGGAAAGTCCTGGGCTCAGCGCCGCCACCCTCGCGGGCCTCGGGCCGGCCTCTAGGGGGCGCTGGCGCAAGGCCGCGCGGCACGGAAACGCGTTTGAACTTGGCCACCGCCGCTGCCCGTAGCCGGCGTCTCCAACATGGCGGCTGCCCAAGATGTCCACGTCCGGATCTGTAACCAAGAGATTGTCAAATTCGACCTGGAGGTGAAGGCGCTTATCCAGGTACTGGTTCCCGGGGCCCCTGCTGGGCTCCGGCTGCCCTAAACCCGAGCTCCGCTGGCCTCCTGTGAGCCCGCGGGCTCCCTCCCGAGCTTCCCCCGCTCGGTCCGGTCTTCCTCTCTGGTCGCTGGCCCCGCTCTATGGCCGGCTCCCTCCTCTCCGGCCCCCTTTGGCCCCTTCCCCTTGACCCTTGGTCTTGAGCCTCCATCCGGGTGGCGTTGGCTCGCCCTTTCCCGGGACCCCCATGTCCCTCCCCCCTGCCCAGGCTTCCGGCTTCC